AAAGGTGGCGGAGTATTTTTACCTGCCTCTGGGTCTATAATACCCTCAAGGACGGGTGACTCACGGACGGGTGTCAGAACAGGTGAGTAATTAGCCGCAAGTTCTGGTGGTAGTACCTCGTAAGGTATAGATACGCTGAGCACATCTGGCTCAGGTGTGGCGCTCGATGTTGACGTTCTGTCCACTTCTGTAGGGCTTCAGTAATGCCCGGAGAAACATGCTCGCGTAAGTGTTGTGCATGTTTTCCTGATCTATACAATCGATCTACCTGTTCAACAGTCATGTCTTTTATAAGGATGGCAAACTGATTTTTAAGATCAGTGTTTTCAGTAATTAACTTACTTTATACGCCTTATTTCAGTGGTCTCGGACGTAGATTCGGGGTTGCCACTTGAGCTTACCTTCTCTTCTGGTTCGGTAATAGGTACCTTCTGAGATTCGTCTCTGTCCCCTATAATTGGGGACTTTTCTTTCTGAGTTTCGTCAGAAGAATTGGTTGGGGCGTCTTGAGACGTGTCCCTTGTTTCACTTCCTGGCTTCGTAAATGCAAGCTTTGAAGTTGAAGCAATAGTTGGCCCTCGGGCTCTGTCTGTAGGAGTAGTCTCCTTAATCGGAATGGCTACATCCTTATCCGAAGCATTGTCCTGTTGACTATTATTGTCGGAGACAAGAGCTTCAGCTACGGTGCGGTTAAACGCATCGGCAGCAGCGGCGGTTGCTTCTGCAGCAGCAGTAGCTGCTGCAGCGCTAGCGGATTCTCTCTCCATCTTCTTACGTTCAGCCTTGCGTCTCTTTGCAGGTGTATTGTCTTTCTTTGTCATAATCTTAACTTATGACTTCAGTCTTTTTCTCTTAAGGAATGACTGTGTTTAGGAAAAATTTCGTGGTAGTTATCTACCTTTACGTTCAAGTAGTCTAAATGTTATTACCATTGCTAACTTTAAAATGTGTAAGATTCGGTCTATCAAGGCGATACTTGAGAGACTACAGTAGTAGACGTATTTCTATATACGTTAATAACGTTTTACGTCGTCAGCCCAAGAGTAATTTGGGACTTGTTCTCAAATTAGTATAAGTATAGGTGGGTCAGTCCGAGAGAACGTAAGAGTAATTTGAGACTTCTTCTCAGATTATTCTATTTATAGGATACGGGCCACCGGCTAGCCGAGAGCCGAGGTCCGAGATCTCGCTGAGTGTAGTAACAGAGAATATGATATATATATTTCTAGAAAATATATCCGAGTGCTAAAGTGTTCTGCATAAGGTTTCTCATACTGATCATATGAGTTTTTACCCTGGCCAACCCAAGTGGTTGAACATTAGTACAAACACCATCAGTATATAGCTGAGGGTGAGATCATAAATAAATTCATTCGAATGCACCTTACTTTAAATACATTTGCACTTTATTTGAAGTCTACTACATTGTACTCTAACAATACTAACGCCTTGGAGTAATTAAACGCCTAGGTTAAGTCTAAGTATCGTGGAATTCGAAAAAAAAATAAACGAAATGAGTCTTTTGGTAAAGTTAGGTATGCCTCGTGCAACAGCAATACTCTGAGGGATTGTGAGGCTGAGACATTGCCTATATATAATCCTCTCAGTACTGTTTTCGCCGAAGGGATTTTTATCTAGTGTTTCGTTGTCGCTCTATTAGAAACTATGGTATGTTTCGTTGGGGCGAATCCGAGAGACTCATAAAATCCTATCTTTAAAATAAAAAATTTAATTAAATTAAATTAAATTAAAAAAAGAAAGGAAAAAAAAGAAAAAAACTCCTGGTGTCCATAGTTATTGCAACTTGCCACTTATCAAGAATTACCTACTTAGCCTCCTTCAGACTGGCACATCTGGTTGGCTGAACGGATGTTAAACTAGGTAACGCTAATAGTCCCTAAAAACCTATATTCGGTTGAGTCATCTCGCTACCGAAGTATTCAGATATAAATAGATTTGGAAAGTAAATATAGTTCTATTAATAGAACTAACCCAAATCTTATGTTTGGTATTTTACTGAGGCCTTTTAATGGCCTTGTCCAAATATCTGATATGTAAAATGGAAAAGGTATCAATTAATAAAACCGTTAAAAACCCATTTAGGAAACTTAAGTTCCTCGTACTATTAGGAGTACGTTTATAGTTTACGTACTGCTTAAGAGTACGTTTATAACATAGAGTCTAATGTGGAGGCCCGGCTATTACATCCAGAATTACCGACTTAGCCTTCATCAGACTGGCACATCTGGTTGGCTGAACGGAGGATAAACTAAGCAACACTAATAGTCCTTAGAAACCTATGTTCGGTTGGGCCATCTCGCTACCGAAGTATTCAGATATAAATAGATTTAGAAAGTAAATATAATTCTATTAATAGAACTAGACCAAATCTTACGTTTGGTATTTTACTGGGGCCTCTTAATGGCCTTGTCCAAATATCTGATATGTAAAATGGAAAAGGTATTTAATTAATAAAAACCGTTAAATATGCGACTATTGCATGCGTTTTTTGCCTACATCTTATTTTTCGTGTCTTTTGTATGCATCGGTTGCATACAGCTTTTGCATGCATTGTACACATGCGTCTCTTTCAAATGCGACCATAACATGCATCCATCGTATGCGTCTTATACAGTATGCGTCTTGTACATACGTCTTTCGTATGTGACTATCGCATGCGTCTTTCGCCTGCATCCTATTTTTGTGCCTTTTGCATGCATTTATCGTATACATCTATCTATGCGTCTTTCACCTAAATCTTATTTTCGCGTAATTTGCATGCATCTATCGTATGCATCTTATCTGCCTATTTCGCATGCGGCTATCGCATGCGTTTTATACATGCATCTTTCGCATGCGACTATTGTAAGATTCGGTCTAATAAAAGCGATACTAATGCTTTAGAATAAATAAACGTGTAGGTAAATTCTAAATATCGTGTAAATATCGATATAAATAAACGAAATGAGACGTTCAATAAATTTAGATTTGCCTCGTGAAAATAGCAATACTCTGAGGGATTGTGAGGCTGAGATATTGCCTATATATAATCCTCTCAGTACTGTATCCGCCGAAGGGATTTTATTTAGTGTTTCGTTGTCGCTCTATTCTGGGGCGAATCCGAGAGACTCTTAAAATCCTATCTTTAGACGAAGAAATATTTTACTCTTGACGTCCTTAGTTATTGTCTTAACCAATAACTTGCCACTATCAAGAATTACCGACTTAGCCTTCATCAGACTGGCACATATGGTTGGCTTATTGGAGGATCAACTAGGTAACGTTAATAGTCCCTAGAAACCTATATTCGGTTGAGCCATCTCGCTACCGGAGTATTCAGATATAAATAAAATTGCAAAGTAAATAAAGCTCTATTAATAGAACTAGATCAACTCTTTTAGGTTTGGTATTTTACTGAGGCCTTTTAATGGCCTCATCCAAATATGTTAAATGGAAAAGTTTAATTAATAAAAGCATTAAAAACCATTTTAGGACACTTAAGTTCCTCGTACTATTAAGAGTACATTTAGGAAACTTAAGTGCCTCGTACTATTAAGAGTACGTTTAAAATTTGCGTACTGCTTAAGAGTACGTTTATACATAGAGTCTAGTGTGGAGGCCCGGCTTATTACACTATCGCATGCATCTATCGTATGTTTCCTATACATGCGTCATTCGCATGCATCTATCGTATTCGTTTTATACACGAGTCTTTTGCATGTCTTTCGTTCGTCTTCATTTTATTTTATTTTGCGTTTTTCGCATGCATCTATCGCATGGTTCTTATACATGAGTTTTTTTTTTGCACGTGTCTATACTTGTAGTTTTTGATTATATGGACTTTATTATATTATTGATGTGGTACATGTGCCTTTTGCCTATCGCATGCATTTATCTCCTGCGTCTATACCATGCATCTATCGCCTTTGTTAACTATATACTTTATTATATTGTTAATGTACATAAGAAACTATGTACTAACTAAGTTAAACGACCATATTATTCCTGTCTCCTCGGCACTCCTCTGACCTCCGTTCTGAAATTCATGAAGATTGTATATGGGCCCCACCACACCAAGTATAGAACAGAAGTATTAGAACTGATATGTCCCGTGAAATCAGAACCCACTACCACTATACTTTTAGAGTAGACATGGGGTCGTCTGTCAAGTCTACTTGCGATAAATGAAAGTTTGGTGGGAATCTATGGACTTAATTATACTAATATTTGCGTTGGTGACATCTTAACCTGCATTTGACTATTCCTAGCTGAGACAATTGTACTTGAGAAGACGTCTATTGTTTCCTTTGGTCGTATCTTTCTGCTACTCTCCATACTATACAGTGACCAGTACGCACCCGCGCAACTCACAACGAGCACAGTCGAAGAGTGGCACAAAAGACTAGGTCATATTGGTAAGCGAACCAAGACGATACTATATAAAAATATGACATCCACCGTAAAAATAAGCCTTCTCTACGTAATTGAACACAAATTTGACGAACAAATCAACAAGGTGAGGGGGCACACAAATAACCATTGACAGTCCAAAAATTGACATTCAAATCAGTTATGCACAAATTAACAGAACATGCATCAACCTCACACCCTCACTGTTCAACACAGGATGGGCATCAACAGAGTTTGACAGCAAACATCAAGACGAACAGCACAAGTTTACAACTTGATTTAAGACATACATCAAGGGTGCAACGAAGTCCGCACATTAAAGTTGAGGACATCACACAATAACACACACACGTATCAAGTTGAATTACGGGTGTGACGAATTCATGTACAAAACATGTAAAACATTCAGTGTGATTAAAACACAGTGACCAGGAGGTACATAACAACAGCAAAACGAAGACCATATTGATAGTAGCAGGTACAAAAGGGCACAAACCGACAAACACATACTGAAATAGGAGAGCTCGGTATATAAAAGTTTACGGCATACTAAAAAACACAAGAAGTACGATACACTAGAGGTGCTGTCAATGAGACCGAACATCATAGGTGACGTCAATATGACTGAACTTCCTCGGTGACGTCACTAGGACCAACATCAAGTTAAGATCAAGTGAGAAAATAATTCCTCATATGACAAAATAAGCACAAGTAAGTCCACGAGTGACTGAATAAGCTGAACTAACAAACACCATATACACTTCACAATCACAGGAAGGAACGCAACAAGCCACCGCATAACACAGGACGGTAAGCGCTTCCCCTGGGAGTGCAGCAAAGCGTGAACACGACAAAACTAAGTGAGATAAATTCAATTTTAATTTATTTTCATACAGAGTAAAGAGCTCATTCGCAGCAAACATAGCACAAGTCTTTACTAATAACCTATAATACACGCACACCAACACAGACATCTCAAGATGCCAACGGCAACCAGAGCAGGCATGTACGATAGTGAAGGGGGTGACGCTGCCACGGACGGTGCGGGGGACAGCCCAGCAAGGAGGACAAACCAAGGCAGTGGCTCAAGCCAATCAACACCGGGTGGGTTGCATGCCCATACAGGCATCAGCCATATGTCTAGAAATAGACAAAATCATCGTCACTAGGACCAACATCAAGTTAAGATCAAGTGAGAAATAATTTCTCATATGACAAAATAAGCACAAGGAAGTCCACGCGTGACTGAATAAGATGAACTAACAAACACCATATACACCTTACAATCACAGGAAGGAACGCAACAAGCCACTGCATAACACAGGACGGTAAACACTTCCCCTGGGAGTGCAGCAAGGCGTGACCACGACAAAGCTAAGTGAGATAAATTCAATTTTTATTTATTTTCATACAATTAACTAGTAAAGACAATAGGGAGTAAGGCACTCATTCGCAGCAAACCTAGCACAAGTCTTTACTAATAACTTATAATACACGCACACCAACACCGACATCACAAGATGCCAACGGGAACCAGAACAGACATGTAAGATAGTGAAGAGGGTGACGCTGCCACGGACGGTGGGGGGGACAGCCCAGCAAGGAGGACAAACCAAGGCAGTGGCTCAAGCCAATCATCACCGGGTGGGTTGCATGCCCATACAGGCATCAGCCATGCGTCTAGAAATAGCAAAATCAGTTGTCAAGGCAACTATGTTCTAGTTAGTAGGTTTGTAGCTAAATTAGAACGAACTGCACCAGTTAACATTGCGAGTCTACACAAAATGAGAGTAGGCATTCATGACCAGTAACCAGAACGTTGCATACCATTATTAGACGCAGAACTATAAAGAGATACGATCAAGCTATCAATGAGTGCGGTGACGATGAGGAAGATGATATAATTCTAACCAGTCAGTACATTAACAAGATAGAGCTTATGTGTTCACGCTTAGGTGATAGGGTTAGTGAACCTGCACCATCGAAACTACTAAAGACCTCATAATTTGCGAAGTTACCAAGAGATAGCTACTTCAAAATGAAAATTGTGAAGACTATAGAGTTTACTACGCAATATAGACACCTGTTCGTAACCAAATCTATGCCACTATGTTAGTATCCAGCGCTAGTGAGATATCTATTAGATTCCACTGACGCAACTGAGAAGACCAAGGGGGTACTCAATGAGGTATGTGATTCAGAAACACAGATCACAAAGCACTACAAAGATCCTGAGCAATTCAATAGAGTTATTATTGACAAACTCAGACACTATTCAGTAGACTTTCTGTTAGAAATGTTTCTATGACATGGAGAACAAGGCACTGAACGTAGAGGTACGCACAGAGCGGTTGCATAGAGTGATGTAAGTGTTAGATGAGTGCTACCAAAACACGGACAAAAAGCCCATACACAAGCAAATACTCAAGGTAGCGAGCTACCAGGCACTCATGTGTATTGGACAGCAAGAGAAAGTGGACGCCATCATTAAAGCAGACAAACTGCCCGATGGAAGTGACGGGCACTTATCAGATATGAAACATACCGTGTTCCACTCTCTTACTTAAGCAATCATAAGAGCAGCAGCCAAGGTGCAGGCAGATTGTATGCACCGAGAGTGCAAGAGATATAATTATCACGCGGCCACGCACAGCCAGCCTCAGGATGCTACCACTAAATCACAAACCCAACCCAATAGGACAACCCCATGAGAAGAAAGGAGCGACAATACGTGCATGTTCCTATTGTAAGGTGTCACCAGCCGCACATCGATTTAGCCAATGTCCTGTGAAGGCATCAAATCAGAACAAGAAGGTGGAGGAGCGTGTCCAGAACGATGTGCATGTAGCTAGACTACCAATTACCTCCGGGAAGGTAGAACAGATAACAAATAGCGATGAGTCCTGAAACAACTAGTGGGCGGAAGCAAACATAATTGACATGGCTGACAGGCTAAATGTAAATACAGATGAAGAAATGATGATACTAAATGCAGATGATATAAATTACCAACCTTTATCCTTACTTCCCGCACCACGAGACCAAAAATTACACATTGACATACAAATCAATGGCAACACATACAACGCCCTAGTAGACTTCGGTGCACAACGCACATGTATGGACAAAATACAGTAACTGAACCATATCTATCAGTCAGACCACAGCCGGGTCACATACAACTAGCACAAATAGACGCTAGAATACGAAGAACAGGGTCAACCCAAGGAAGGAAAACCTCTCAGGGGTTTGAAGTGTTGGACCTACCTGACAAGAAGGCACCAATAGTTCTAGGTATATACATACTTCCATACATAGGTATATACATAGCAGGATTAATAAATCCACTTATACCAACAGATGCGAAGTGGGATACATTACATAATCCACATGAGGAAAACCCAGAGCATGAGCAAGAAGGTTTGCAGACCTCTTAGATACCAACACAACATTGTAACCTACCAGGTTCTACAGTCACAGTACCCACAAATGAAAGTAATAAGACAAACGAGGCACGCCAATGTAAACTTCGTACCACACAAGTATACCCCACAAACGGATGAAAATGTGAAGAGGTGATTTACAGACGGCCACAAATACAAACGAACTATACGAACAACGGTAAATTTACCGCTGTTATCAACGGTTGAACATGACCAAACAGGTCTCCTCAAAAAAGTAAGTACATGTTTAGACTTGCGTGAGATCAAATAACAATATGAACGTGATAATTTCGTGCTACCAAAAAAAAAGGAAGTATTGCACAACATACAAGGTGCACTATTCTTCTCCAAGCTAGATCTCATGGGGGGCTCCACTACTTCTTAGTAGACGAAGCAAGCCAACACTTCTTCACGTTCTCGTGGAGAGGAGCGCAATACTCATTCAAGTCAGAACCATTTGGCCTACACTCAACTCATAGCACAACTCGAGAGAGTCATGGCAAACTTACCTATAGACATCAAATGAGTACAAGTGTATGTCGATGACACAGTCATTGCAAGTCTTACAGAAAACACCGCAAGACAGTTCGAAAAGTATTCAAACGGTTGAATGGAGCAAACTTCAGACTTAATTACAACAAATATGCCTTCGCGGTCAAAGTGGTCAACATTATAGGTGTAAAAGTCACCACACAAGGGCTCAAAGCGGATACTAAAAAACATAAAATAATAATGGACTGGCCATTACCCATAACAAAACGAGATCTGCACAAAGCGGTGGGACTCACGAGTTATATGCGCGACCATGTCCACTTTGTCCACACAACTAAACACTTCCGGAACCAAATGAAAGGAAAAATGAAACATATGAACACCGGAACTGAAAAAGGAGTGGGAAGAACTCAAAGAAGCTATCGCATGTTCGGCGACACTAGCATACCCTGTAGATGGGGTACCGTTCCAAATCATGAACGACGCTAGTAACTACGGCATAGGGATAATATTATTTATTTCAAAAGAGATAAGTTACAAGTGGAGTTGACAAGGGGGTTCAATAGAGCATCCATGCTGCGGGCAAGAACATTTGGCGCTCGTTCATGTGTGCAGCGAGCTTCCCGCTTGGTATGAAGATAGTGGATTAAAGCTTCTTTCGTAGAGTCGGGACAGTGTTTGAAGCGTGGGTCGATAGTTTTATCAAACTGTCATTTCTACGTAAGTGTTGCATGTTGTTTCACCTGGGCAACAGCGTCACTAGGAACACAAAGGCGGACGAAACTGGTGGAACTCCCGGGACGATGTGGCGATTTAGTTAAGAAATCGGTTTAGACGGGAGATACCAAAGGAAGTGATCACGATTGAGGTACGGTTGGGCGTGCCAGTAATTTTCAATTTCTTATTGGTATGGAGGCTTGCCATTAGGAAAAATTGCCCGAAAGAAGAGCCATACCGGAGTTACGTCATCCATTTCGTGGAGAGTTTTGTCCGGCATCGGGTAGCCCATCACTTCTGCCAAAAGGTGTGTGGGTACTGGCAGCTGCAGTAGGGGTTGAGAAGCTGGTGTGGTCGAACGTTTTTTGGGGCTCGGGTTTGCGGGGTTGTCCACTTTTGAGCAGTAGCTGGGAGGCTCACTGCTGCTATTGGGTGCCTTCGGCCGCGGTCTTTTTGCTGGCGGGGCAGGCGGGCTTGTGGAGCCGATTCGGATGGTGTGGGGTGTGCCTTCATTTAGAGGTGCCCAAGTTTGGTATTTTGGGTCCCGGAGTTCGGATTCGAGGTTGTTCACCTTGACACGATGCATGGTTAATTTCCATTGGTCGTCAGCTAGAGGCTTCTTGGAAATGGGCCCATCATTGTTCGGGTTTGGTAGAGCCGGTCCTGACATTTGGTTGAGATTGGCCTGTAGAGTATTGACCTGGGCAGAGAGGTATGTGATAGATATTTGTAAGTCCAATTTCCATTGGTCATTGGGCAAGGAGTCCTTGGTGACGAACGTCTTAGTTGGGGGTTTGTCCTGGCCCACCAATGGTGGCTGTGGGTCCCAACTGGATTTTTTGTTTAAAAACAAAAATAAATTCTACATTCCAGGTCTAGTATGTGACTTATTGGTGGGGTCTGTGGGGTTTTGAAATTGGGTAGTCCGTTTTACACTGGTGACCTGCGGGTCAGAGAGTATGTTTATTTCAAGTCATTGATAGATTCAGGAGAGATATTCTCTACTTCTTCAAACGCTTAAATTTAGCACAACAACGTTATGGAACAAACACTAAAAACGCTACTAGTACTGATATATAGCCCGGAACATTTATCTGAATACACCAAAGGAAAGGATATGACGCTAAGGACAGATCATAAAGCGCTTACGCAAATAAACAGCCAACAGACGTTACACCCAATGCTAGCCAAATAAATAGCAGAAATATACCACCACCACTTCTCCATCATACATGTCCCAGACCAGGACAATCAGATGGCAGATTGTTGTTGCGTCTACACGAAGACACATTTGATAATAAAAGTCTGAGGTATTACAAGACGCAAATAAAAAAACACACAACAGCCAAGAGTACACCACCTTGGAAACAAACATGCCCATAACCATATCAGCTATTGACTGGATGTTACACCCCAGATTCTACAAGGAAGCTGAAAGACTATTTGGGAAATTCACAGTAGATGTGTTTGCATCGGCACACAATGCACACACTGATAAATACTACACAAAAGAACATAATGCAATCTTACAAAAATGGGCGCAGGAAGTGAATACATGGGCAAATCCACCATGGAAACTCATACCTGATTCCCTTGGCAAAGTCATTGAAGAGACAACCAGCACCACGAGATGGGTACCATACTACCCCAATGCAACGTGATTTCCGAAGTTCTTGTCTTTACTAGAAGAAGACCCGATGCTAGTGGAATG